AGAGGGCGGCAGTCCGAAGTTCCAGTTAAGGATCCCAGGCTAGGGACAACCCCAAGGACCCCGCCCCCTTGGCCTGCCTGCTGTCCCCACCCCGGCCGCTTCCCTGACTCCGGAGTAATCAGCTGCTGCGCGCGGCTGTAATTGACGGTGCAGGCCCTGTCTGGCAGAGAGCCGGCGGGCGGCGCAGGGGCGGGCGAGGGGCTTAATTGCAGGGCTTCGGGTGCAGTCTGGGCTGCCTCTCCGCTTGGGGCGAAAGGGACAGACACTAAGGTCGGAGAGCCTGGTCTCAGAGGAAGCTAAAAGACCTCCGGTGGTCGGGGAGCCCTACCCCGGAAGCGGGATCGAGGGTCTTGAACCCTAGCGAGAGTGCGGGGGGTGGAGTGGGGGGGGCGTGGGACGTCTCCGGAGAGCTAGGAGGAGGGGGGCAGATTCCAAACTCCCCACCCCAACCCCAAGGAGCCTGGTTCATCTTGTCCGAGACTCCTCCCTCGTTCTGACCCTCCCTCCACCACCACCCCCCGCTCCCCTTTCTGCCGCCCCCGTCACCCCCCTTCTCGTATCCCCAGGGCGCTCCCACCCTGGGGAAGAATGTGCCCTCCTAGCGCACCCTTGCCATGGTAACGGCACACCCCCACCCCCGCGCACCGCAGCGGCCGGGCCTGGCCCGGAGGGCGGCGAGAAAAGGGGGAGTGGGCGCCTCCCAGCCCCGCGGACACACCTCGACAGCCCCGGTTGCCACAGTAACCGGGGGCGTTTCGAAGTGCGCAGCCGCAAAGTGGCACCGGGCACTCCTCTCGCTCCTTCACCCCTCTAACCCACCAGCAGAGGACCCTGGCTCCTAGGAGAGACTGCCGCCCACCTTCCTCCACCCCCCGTGCAACTTCAAGGACAAAGTCCAGAGAGGGATCATGGACTGTTCCAGCTTCCACGCACCGCAAGCCTAGGGGCAAAGGCGGCCGGAGGACCCGGAGAGCCTAAAACCTGAAAAGGGATCCCCCTGTCCCCAGCCCGCCTCCCTCCCCCAGCAGAGCCCGAGGGGGGCGCTGGCAGCAGGAAGCCGGGAAGGGCCCCGGAGGCGCGCAGGGCCCACAGTAGAGCGGTGATTACAGGGACCTGTCCCTCCCGCCCCCGGCTCCCACTCTCATTAAGTCATTTTTTCCCCTGTTGGAAAGTCCCCGTGCCTTGAGCGCAGGGGTTGGGGCGACCGCAGGCAGCTGCCGGCAACCACATGAGAAGGGGGGGTGGGAGGGGAGGAGGGGGACCGCGACTAGGGCCTGGACAAACTCCAACGTGGAAGGCCCCCTGCCGGGGGGCTAGCTGGGGGCGCTTTAATTCGAGAAGAGGAGGGCCTGGATGCCGCTGACCTTGCTTCTCACTCTCCAGGGTCCTCCTCCAGCTGCCAGGGCCCCTACCTTTGCCTCTCTCCTCTTTTTTCAGACCTGCGACCTTGGGTGACTGACAAGCAGGATGCCTGGGTTCCGATCCCCGCCCCAGTCTGGCTGCCTCTCCCTGACCCTTGACCCTACCGCTGCCTGCTGGTGTGTTCACCACTCTCTTTCTCCGTTCCTTCTCTCCCTCCCTCTGGATCCGGCCATCCAGGCTCCATTAAACCATTCTGTTTTTTTCCTCCTGCAAGGAGGTGATCCAGGGTCCATCAAGGTGAAAGGTTTTGAGGACCAGGACTATTCCCTCCCCTTCTGATCTATGTCTCACCATGTTCTTATTCCCAAATTGCAACCCTAGACCTCCCCAAGCAACCCGGCAAGTTCTTCCTCCCATCTACCTCCACCAACCCCTATTTCCAATCAGCACAATGATTCCTGGTGCACCCTTCAGCCAGTATGCCTAAGCCGAGTGCCCCTTGCCTCCTATTTTCTTGCCCTTCCTCACCTCTACATGGCCCGTTAGGGCCTTTGCCAAATCCCACATTCCCCTTTCCAGCTGCGGGGTCCAGCTTTGATTCTCAGACTCTAGTTACCTTCCAGCCCAGAGAGAGGATGTGGAGCTCGCTACACCTTGTTTGTTCCCTTCCCAACTTTCCCTTTCTTCCTTTATAGGTCAGGCCAGCCTCTATCAGCTCACCAGGACTTGTCTGAGACATGTCCCTCCCCCACACATGGTGTCAAGCCCCTGTCCCAGCCCACCACCCATCTCTCCCTCTGGCGGCAGCATGCTCTGCAGGATTCCTGCTCCTACCTCCTTATCCCAACCCTGATCCTACAGCTCTCCTCTTTGGTCTTTCCTCCCCCAGCTGTGTCCTCCTTCAGCCTAGAAGGCACAAGAAGGTGACACCGGAGCTAATGCTGTCGTGGTGAACACTCCTGGGGTAGGAGTGCCCCCCCCAGGCCTTCATTCCCCCCCCCCATACACACACCTCTTCTCTCCTCCTCCCTGGGATGGGAGGGAGCAAGGGGGCGGGGAACCCAGCCCCCACAGCCCTCTCCTGGGTGAACAAGAGGAAAGGAATGAGGCAGGTGTGTCTGGCGGCTCCTGCTTACCCCTCCTCCCCTGGGGACTCTCACCCGCCTGCCTGTGGGGCTGTCTTTTGGGGGTTGGGGAGAGAAACCCTGTCCTCCGCAGAAGCAGCGGAGCTGAGCATGCGGAAGGCCCCGCTGTCTTAGGCGTGTCCAGGAACTGCTGGGAAGCAGGAAGTTGGAGGGAAAGAAGCTGAAGGCGAGCTAGTGGGGGCAAATCTCCCAGCTGGTGGGCCTACAGGGGTACATCATCATGAGAGCTTTCTTTCCTTCTCTCTCCTGCCCAGAGGGCTAGGGAAATACGGGGATTTGTGTAGGCCAGCCGTCGGGAAAAGGAACAAAACTTCATCCCCATCTGGTTCATTGAGAAGGATGACATTCTGAGTAAACTGAGGTAGGCAGCAGGATCCTCAGCTATGAGCAACAGGAGGTCCGGAGGAAATAGGTGAAGTGTTTTTTCTCTGAGATCCTGACCCTACTTCCATCTCTACCACCCTTCCTGAAGGTTTATTCCAAGAAAACATCCGACCTGAGAGCCAGGAGAGTGCAGACCCAGATTGCCAGCTCAGCGGTATTCTTAGGGGTGTAGGGAGAAGGAGGCTTGCCGACCTGCTATAGGGCACCTTGAGCTGGGGATCTGGGTGCCCAAGAGGTGTAGCAAGGATGCCGCTCCACCTCTGGCCTTACCTACATCCCCCACCTACCCTGCATGGACTCAGAGAGACGAGAATCCAGACAGTGAGTCTCCTAGCCCTCCCCCGCCACCCTCCTTCTGGCCGCACCTCCTAGCCCCACCTGCTCCCTGGGGCGCTGGGCTGGCTGGGTTGAGCTGGGTCTTGCCCAGGATTACTCCTCTCAGAGCGCCTGTCTCTGCCTAAGGGAGCTGCTGGGCACCGCCACTCGTCCTGGCTTGTGGCAGAAGGCTCAGGCACAAGGTGGACAGCTAGAGCTCCGGCATTAGAAGCTCCTGATCCAGCTTCTCATCAACATCCCCATGGCCTCCATCCAGTTGGGCCCTGTCTCTGGTCTCTGGTTCCGGAAAACAGCTGCGGTTTCCTAACTGGCCCCCTTGCTGTCAATTTGTCCCCGCTTCATTCAGTTCCCTGTATAGCAATCCATGTGGAAATCAGACCAAGACACTCACCTGCTTAAGGCTCTCCGAAGTTTCTCATTCCTCTTAAAAACCCCAACTCCTTACATTGGCCCAGAGGGACCTGTGATGGGATTCTCGCCTGCTCTCTGAGCTCCTCTCCTGCTAACCTGCCCTTTGATTCCTTCATTTCCATCACACTGGCCTCTTTGCTGCTTCTCCTGAGGACATCTTTCTTACTACTGAACTCTTGTCTCTGCCTGGAAAGCCCGTACCCTCAATCTGTGCACAGCTGTCCCCATTGTGCTGGTCTCTGCATGAGCAACGCAACTCAGAGAGGCCTTCCCAGACCAATGTCTTTATCTAAAGGGGCCACACTCCTACCTATGTGTCTATCAATAAATGAATAGTTTAAAAAAAAAAAAGCTGTGGGCTGTGTGTGTGTAGATACACACACACATACACACACAAATGGAATATTATGCAGCAGTAACAAAGGAAGACAGCTTGGCATTTGCAATCACATGGACAGACCTTGAAAGTATTACACAGAGTGAAATAAATCAGACTGGGAAAGACAAATACCACAGAAGTTCACTCCCATGTGGCATCTAAAAACAAAACAAAACAAAACGAATCAACAAACAAAGGGCAGAATGGAACTATAAATACAGAGAATGAGCTGATGGTTGCCTGAGGAAAAGGGGCTAGGGGGGATGGACAAAATGGGTGAAGGGGAGTGGGAGAGGAAGGCTTCCAGTTACGGAATGAATTAGTCATAGGAACACAAGGCACAGCATAGGGAATACAGTCACTGGCATTGTAACAGCGTCCTATGGTGACAGATGGTAGCTTGTTTGTAGTGAGCACAGCTTAATGGATAGACTTGTCCAATCACTATTTTGTACATCTGCAACTAATGTAACATTGTGTGTCAACTGTACTCAAAAAGATTTTTTAATGCAAACAAAAAATAAAGGGGCCCCACTCCCCACAAATCACTCTACATCCAGCCCCAAGCTTTATTTTCTTCACCGCACAGAGCATCGAGCATCGTCTGAGATGACCTCGTTCATGTGTTTACTTGTTTATTGTCCCTCTCCCCCAACCAGAATGTAAACTCCAAAAGGGCAGGTGCTGTGTCTCTCTTATTCACATCTGTATCCTCAGCACCCTTCGTCCCCTGCAGAGTGCCAGGCCACAAAAAAGTGCAAAATAAATATTTGTTAAATGAACATGAACGATGAGGATAAGAGGCCCTTGGGGGAGGGCATCTGCGGCCTCTACAGAATCACTTCAGCTCAATGATGTCCATTTTTTCTTTTCTAATCATCCTCCCCCTGACCATCAGCTTCCGTTCACTCTCTCTCCAGGGGGAAGAGGTGAAGACAGGAAATGGGAAAGGCCCAGAGACTGCCGGGATGACAATCGCCCTTGCCCTGGGTGTGGGTCAATTCCCAGCCCAACTGAGATGACTGAGCCTGGGGCAACGAGCGCCCACAGAAGTGAGGGGTGGCGTCCAGGCAGAGTGGACTGCCCCCTGATTGCCGATCTGACCCTCCGAGCCGGGAAGTCCCTCTCCGATCAGAGGGTCCAAACTCCTCTCCCAGGAGTCTGGACGACGACGCTGTCCCGGAGCGCCAAGCTGGCAAGCGGCAGAGGGCCGGGCTCCGGCTGGGGAGACCTCCGCTCACTTGCAGACGCTGACCCACTCGGTGATGCGGCACTCCTCGCAGACGACGAAGCAGCACCAGTGGAAGCGGCAGTGGCAGCGCTCGCTGCGCGTCTGGCGCAGGATGTTGTGGCCGCGGCCGCAGCACATGCTGCCGCAGCCGTCGGGGCCCGCGCTGCTCTTGTTGCACAGGCGGCCCACGGTGCCCGCCGAGTCCAGGCGCGGCTCGCGCTCGCAGAAGTCGGGGGACTTCTCGAAGTAGACGAGGTCGGCGGGGCTGGCGCGGCGCCGCGGCCCCGGGACGCCCGGGGCGGGCGAGGGGGCCCCCGCGGGGCCTGGCTCCAGCTGGCCGCCGTTGCGGTTGTGCGGCCGGATGAGCATGGCGCGGTGGAAGCGGCTGCGCAGCAGCGCCCCCACGGCGCGGAACTCCGGCGTCACCTGCCAGCACGTCTTGAGCTGGCAGCTGCCCGACGTGCCGTGGCACTTGCACTTCCGCCGCATGTTCTCCATCACCGCCTGCGGAGGGAGGCACGGCGAGGGGTGACGCCCGCGGCCAGCCCCACGGCCCTCCTCCCAGCGCAGACACTGGCCTTCCAGAATCTCGGAGAATTCTGAAACTGACTCGCACAGGCAAAAGCTGAGGCCCGAAACAGAGCGGGGCGAGGGGGGCGGGGCAGGGCGGAGGTGTGTGGGTGTGTGTAGGGTTGTGGGCTGTGGGCGGCACAGCTCCTGAGCCAGGCACTACGGAGAAAAACTCCCGCCAGCTCTTCAGGACTGTTCTCCCATCCCACCTCCCACCAGGTCAGGTCCTGGGGGAATTCCCTCCTTCCTCCCCTCCTCTCCTTTTCCAGCAGCTGCAGGGGGCCCTTGGGGCTGGAGGCTCTTGCTTCCTGAGGGGGGATCCCAGATCCTCAGGGAAATTCCCTCTCCTTCCACCCCTCAGGTGGGGGCCAGGAGCAGGGGTGGGTGCTGGCCCCAATATATCCCATCCCCAAAGCTTCTGGCCTCTATCCAGGCATGAGTGGGGGCTGCGGAGAGTCTGAGAAAGCCCCTCTCAGCCTCTGGGCCCTGCAGCCCTTTGCAGGGAGCCTAAGGAGGGGACAGAAACTGGGGAGACTCCTCTCTCCTCCATTATACTAGCTGGGGCTTATTCTGCCCAATGCTGAATGCCAGGGTTCCTCCTAGGGGAGAGTGAGTATCAACAGGGGCCAAAGTCTCTACCTGAATACAGAATGGGAAGAGTCCCAGAGAACCAGACCCCCTGCAATGAAAATGAGGACAAGACCCCATGCCTCCAAGGGAAGTAGTTACAGGAATACAGCCTACCCACCGCCTCTGCTCAGCTCTCAGCCTGCTCTAGAATCTCCTCTCAAAGAACCCCTTGCCATTATTATCCTCACTAGAGACACCAGAAGCAGTTGGCCACATCTTCTCCCCCACACCCCCAGACTCCATTCCAGAACACACCCTCAGGTCAGGAGAGCAATGATCTGGGGCCCTCCAACCTGGGCAGTTAAGGCCACAAAACAGAGACCATGCCCTCTGAGTCTTAAAAGGCCCTTCTGCTGGTAGGTGCAGCCTGTGGTGTCAGCACCATGGAGGAACCAGCCCAAGCCCCCCCCCCCCGCTTCTTTCCCACGCTTCCATACTCCCCCCCCCCCCGCCAACAGCTCCAGAACGTTTGCTTCCCACAGGCAGCAGCCATTAATTAAGCAGTTTAACAAGGAGGAGGAGGTACTGTTGGTATGGGCTGGGATAGTATGGAAGCTTGGGAAAGAAGCTGGGTGAGCAGGGCAGGGCTGGGTGGAAGCTGGATGTGACCTGAGGGTGCGTATGCCTCAGTTTACTTCACCTCTAAGTCAGGCTGGGAAGAGCTGAATCAGCTCCGAGTCTCTGGAAGGAGAAGGCGAATGGCCTGGGCTGAGAGGCCCAGAGAAAGGGGGATGCAGAGGGGCAGGTGCGAGCCAAAGCGAGGGGAAGGCAGAAACAAGGCCCCAAGGCAGGCCAGGCAGGGCCAGAGAGAAGGGATGGGGGCTGAGCAGCCAGGAAAGGAGGGTGCGAAGTTATGAGAGGGGGCTAAGGGGGCATCTCAGTGGAGGCAGACGCGTAGTGCAGACAAGGCCGCAGCTCAGTACAGACAAGGCCGCAGCTCAGCTCAAGAGAGCACAGGCCCGGTGCTCAGCTGCCTGTAGACCAATCCTCCTCTCCCACTTCCTCGCCAGTTGCATGGCCTTGGGCAAGCTCCTCCATCTTTCTGTACCTCGGTTTCCATATCTGAACACGAGGCTAATACTAGGACCCTCAGGGATAGTTGTAAGGATTAAATAGGCTGCTAGGCACTAAGTTGCTCCATGAGGCAGTCCCTGACACATAGGAAGGACAAAATAAATGCAGGTGATTATCCATTCCCTTCCCTAAATGCAGGTGATCATTCCTTTCCTTTCCTTTCTTCTTCTTCTTTTTTTTAATGAATGATCTTTGAGTAGTATGAACATTCAAAGGAAGGGAGGTAAAGGAGAAAGGCAACCATGCAACCCCCACACAGGGCCATGCTGGCCCCCAGGCACCTCCCCTTGCAGGAATCCCTCATCTGCACGGAAAGGCTGCAAGAGGTCAAAGATCACAGCATAAGATAGCACAGAATCATGGAGGGCTGGGGGGATGTAGAGGACTGGGTGATCCAGTTCAACTTTCTTGCTTTATATGGGAGGTGGCAGAGCGGCAGAGAAGGGCCAAGGCCCTCAAGGCCCTGACTGCTGCCCAGTGCCCCTTCCATCACTCACTGCAAGGTAAGGAGAGGACCAGGCTGCCCAGAGGAGGGGGGAGCTGATCCAGGACAGGGCAGGTCTCATCCCTGCCTCCACCGCCTAGTCCAGTGCCTGGCACACAGTGGGCCTCCAATGCATGTTTGAGGACTGGATTAGGCAGGGGGCAATGAGAAAGTTGCTGAGCTGGGGGAGTGGCTGTGTTCCCTAGAGAGGTCGGCCTGGGGTGGGGGAGGGGAGGAGCCCTAGGCAGAGGGGTCTGGAACAGGCCCAGGCGGGTGGGGCTCTCACCTGCCTCCCAACTCGGTTGTTGTGGAGCCTCATGCGCGCGTGGATGTCTCTGTGAGGCTCCCTGGAGTCCAGAAAGTCCTTAGAGAAGCGCTCCCCGAAGCCCACGTCGGGGCTACAGCCGCCCCACTCCCAGGAGTCCTGCAGGCCCGGGCTGGCAGGGGGCAGGGCCGGGTGTTCCGGGACCCCGTGGCTCAGGCCCTTACCACGCTGGAGCGCGTCCAGCTGCAGGCGGTGCAGCTTCCGGCGGAAGGCCTCCTCGTCCCCGCGCCGGGAGGCGTCGCAGCCGCACGCCCTCAGTTTACCCAGGGCACAGGCATTGGACACGGCGTGTACGACCCCGGCTGCGGCGATGGCGTAGGCGAAGGCGCTCTCTCGAAAGCCTGAGAGTGGAGATCCAGGAAACAGACTCTGGGGGGCTTCGATGTCTCATGCCTCCGCCCTCCCTGCCCGACCTTCTCACCATAAGAGGAGGAAACCGAGGCCCAGTGTTGGGGGAAGGTCTGGTACAAGGATACAGACTCAGAGGGGCAGAAATCACACCCCAGAAGTTCGGGGTACAGAGTGGAGTGGGGGAGACCTCCCCCAGACCCCTCTTTTCGTTTGACACTCCATTCCTGGTTTCATTAACATCACCCTTAGCAAGCTCAGAGTCTGTGTCTACCTCTCTCCTGTTGGACAGAAAGTATCTGGTAAACATTCTTTTGAAAATCAGGGACTGAATCTATTATCTCTCATGTGATGTTTGCAATTTAAAAAATAAGCCTGCAGAAAGAGGACAAAATTTAACCTAAAAAAAAAAATCATTCGTGATGAACTTCCAGGCCCCAGAGGATGTTAAAGGTGCAGAAGGGCAAGGAAGAGGAAATGGTGTCCGCCTAAAGCTCCCGGCCCCAAGGCTGCCTGCCTGGTGTCACTCCCTTCTGCCGACAACAGAACATTCTCCGATGGCCAAGTTCAAGAGCCAGAGAAAAGAGCCCATGAGTTTTCCCTTTCCCTGTCCACAGGCATCCCAGAAAATCTGAGAAAAGGGCACCATTCCACCACCTGTCCTGTCTAGGTCAGCTGAAGGGGTTGTTTGAGGGATGCTGAAACACAGCCCAGTGCCCTGCAAGTAGTGTTGAAAGTTGAGAGGGAAGGGTGAGCTAAGGCAGACACCTTCCTTGAGATGCTCAGGGGCATGGACTCCCTGATGAACCACTCTCAGGGGCCCAGGACTGGTCTCCACTACTGTTCTCCTCAGTGCTTCCCAGTCTGACCCATCCTCTGGGAAGGCCCTGGTAGGTCTGGGCCTCCTTGGCAGGGGGAGGTCTACTTGCAGAGGATGCTCTGGCTCGGGGACCCACAAGGAGCTTCTGGCTTATTCTGCATCTAGAAGGGACCAGCTAGCAGCATTTTCTGGTACAAGTCTCTGACCAACCTCTGAAACCGAGAGAGCATGGGCAGTGGGACAATCAGGAGAACTCACCTGCGCCGAAGGCCAGACCCTAGCAGGAGATCGGAGGCTTGCAGGAGACCAGAGATTCAGAGGAAAGAACTCTGGGTCCTTCCACGCTAGCATCAAAGACTGAAAGGACATGCTCTGGGAGTTCCCACAACCTCAGAGAGCCAATGAGGACTGGACAGAGACCCTAGCCCAATCCCGCACCCTCCATGCTCACCCTGCATCACAGGGTCCTGTCCTCTTGTCCTTAGCTAGCCACTCACCCACCCCCTAAAAAACAAGATGTGTAGTCATTGAAAGTATGAACTCTGGAGGCAAATTGTCTGTGTTCAAATCTTAGCTCTTCCATTTATTAGCTATTAATAGATACATGACCTTGGTCAAGTGACTTGACCTGGGTGCCTCAGTTTTCTCATCTGTAAAACAAGACTGTTACTAACTGCTTCATTGTTGTCCCAAGAATTAGTAAATTTCAAGTACTTAGAAGAGTATGTTGCTCATAGTGAGTACTGAGCAAACATTAGCTATTTTTGAGAAGTTCTTCATGCTGTCTCATTCCACTCACAACAGCTGTAGTTTCAGGCCATTGGTTCTTGTTTCCCCCAATCGGGGACAGAGCCCAGCGGCTCATGACCTACTTTAGGATCAATCACATGGGCCACCAGAAGCCCGAGAAGCAGGCCATCCCTGTCTATCTTCTCTCTCCATCATCTCAGGACCTTTTCTGTAATGAGCAGACAGGAGGAGATGAGAATTGGCCTGAAGCCTTTTAAGGGGATGTTGGGAATTGGTGGGAGCTGGAAAGGAGTACACACTGACATGGGAGGTGGGGCCCAAGGGAAAGGAGGGCAGACCCAAGTCCCTAGGGAGCACACCCCGTGCTTATCCACTGCCTTCTAGCTGTGGAACTCTCAGCATTTCCCCTATTGCTAGGGAGCTCATCAGCCCACTGCTAAGGCCAAATGGCAATACTCAGATCTCCAGAAGCAGCCTGGGCCTCAGAAACCATCCCCCGCTTCAACACACACAGTGCAAAAGGGAGATGCCCAAGGTCACAGGGGTTAGGTAGCCCACCCAGCCCCAGCTCTCTCAGCTCCCAGGCCTGGTAACTTTCTGCTAAAGGATACTTGGCTCTAGGGAAGACATCCTCCCGAGTAAGAAACCCAAGTGTCCCAGGTCCCAGTTCCTATGGCCCTATCTATGCATGCCACTAAGAAAGGGCAAGAGGCTGGTCCGAGGGGATGTGCTGGGCCAATCACCATCTTCTGGCCTTTGTGACATTCAGAAGCAGGTCCAGAGAAGTCTGGAAAAATGTAGTTCACAATCTACAGAGAATACCCCTACCTAACCCAGGCAGCCAAAAACGCCACACCATGGCCTCTGGCAACTGTCACAGCCACGTGCAGGGGTGGCCAGTCAGGGCCCTTGTGACCACCCTCTGCTCCAAGCATCCAGGATTCAGAGAAATCCAGCCTCCTAGGTCTGCCCCCAGCTCCCACTCAGGGCCCCAGTTTCGGTCCTGGCCCTGAGTGTCTGGGGCAGACACAGGCACTGTGCCATCTGGCCAGCTGGAGGGGGAGAGGGGTGGAGCCGGGGCCAGCTGGGCTGCCTGAAGCATGGAGGGAGGGGGGGGGCTTGTTAAGACGCACAATTAGCTGTCCTGCCTTTGATCTGGGACAGGGACTGCCAGCATCTAAGTGGAGTCAGCTGCTGCTCCAGGATGGGGCTGGGGGAGGAGGGTGGGAGGGCAGGGGAGCATGGATGAGAGAGGGTTCAGGAGCCAGTGGGAACTAGGAGGGATCAGAGACGCTTGAGCCCCGCCTATTTGAGTCAAAGAGGGAGGGAAGGGGAGAGATCTGGTCTCCATCCCCTCCATGCAAATCATCTGTGCATTGCTCCTGTGCCTGGGCTGAGAGAGAGAGAGGGAGAGAGAGGGTTGTGTGCATGTGGGAACACTTAGGGGTGACACTGAATGTGGCTACACGTTTGCACAAACAAAGGTAGGTGTGTGTGTGTGTGTGTGTGTGTGTGTGTGTGTGTTTATACATGTCAGTTTCATTGCCTGGTACTCAGGGAGGCAGTGGTTGAGGGCAGTCTTTAAAGTCAGCTGGCCCACACTTGAGTCCTGGCTCCATAGCTCCCTTAGAAGCTGTGTGACTAATGGCAAGTTACCTAACCTCTCATTGCTTCATTTGTAAAATGAGGATACTAATAGCACCCATTGCATGGGGACTCTTTGAGGATCTTAAAGTACAGAAAAAGTGCTTCAGAACACTGCCAGACAGGGGTGCCTGTGTGGCTCAGTGGGTTAAGACTCTGCCTTTGGTTCAGGTCATGATCCCAGAGTCCTGAGATCAAGCCCCACATGGGGCTCTCTGCTCCTCAGGGAGCCTGCTTCCCTTTCTCTCTCTCTGCCTGCCTCTCTGCCTACTTGTGATTGGCTGCCAAATAAATAAGTAAAATCTTTTAAAAAAAACAAAGACAAAAACAAAACAGTGCCAGACAAACAGCAAGTACTTAATATGTATTAGCTAACTTATTGGGGGCTATTAGAATAATGGAACATTAGGCGATCCTGGGATATGATTGCCCAAGCCTCTGTCTCCCTATCTGCTTGTATCAGTAACCCCAAACCTGCAGGCCTAGGCATAGAACCAAGGCTCCTCAAGGATGGCCGTAAAAGGGAGGTGGGAGAAGATAAAGCCAGGGCTTTGGAGAGCAGACTCTGGACTCCCAAACTGGGCTTCCATTGGGCTGAGAGCCTGGCTGGCTGCTGGGCCTCATGCCCCCTCTTTCCATCCATTCTAGATGGGTCTGGGCCTTGGGAAAGGGCAGAACTAACCTGTGTGGGTGTTCCTAGGGCCTGCTGCTGGAATCTCCTACACTTGCCTCCACCAGCCTCTCCCTGGCCGCTCACCCCCCTTTCCACTCCATTGTCCCCTGTATCCAGAGTGAGAGATGGATGGGTGTTCTAGTACTCACGATGAGGGGCTTCCCTCCAGATGTGTTCCCAGCAGATTCCAATGGTCTGGATCCTCAGAACAAAAAGCTGGGGATATCAGTGCCCTGGACCTTAGGTCAGAGCCACCCCTGGGTCGGGGACCTTCCCACAGCTTTTTTTGGATTCTAGCCCCCGAGAAGCCTCTCTCCCTGTCCCCTACCCACCCAGGTTCTAGCACCCTGTCATACCCTCTCCTGGGCTGGGTAAAGCCCTGTTATATGCCCTGCCTTCCCAAGTATGTCCACTCTAGATGTTCAAGCGCCTTTTCCTCCTACACTGGAACCCCATCCCTTTACCCAACCCATTTCTGGGGACGTGCCAGGACAATCAGATGCAGTAACAGCATTAAGGTGGAAGGCCCAAGGGACCACCTCCTCCTAGCAGTCTCTGAACTCCAGATATGGCAGAACGAACCTTTAAGAGACCCCCACTGGCAATCTGGGTTGGAAGAGGGGTCAGTGCCCTGTGTTCCACTTGGGGGAAACAGGTCATCTGACCCAACATGGGACAATTCACAATTTGAAAAGGACACTGGGGGAAGGACCCAGCACAGGGACTGGCTGCCACCAAGAATGGTCCCACAGAATTCAAATTTAGCCAGTCTTTGTGGTGATGGGCAGGGGATATAACCCCACAGGAGGATGAAGGATGAATCCAGATACAGAGTGAGGGAAGGGTTGTAATGGTGGCCGGTGGCAGGAGAAAGTGGCAATTTTTTCCAGAAGCCCAGAGTCCCCAGCGAGGAGGGAGAGGTAGAAAATATGATGTCGCAATGCGGGAGCAGAAGTCACCTAGTAGGACAGTGTTCCAAGGCCAAAGGAAGGAGCCCAGCTCCACTGTCGGAGGAGAGCCCAGGAGCCGCTGTCCCGCCCCTTTCCCCCCCCACTGCGCACCGCCCCGCCCTGGCTAGCCCCGGCAAGTCTCCCCCCTCCACCCCTAACCTACCCCCTACCCGTCCCCCCAGCTCACCTCCCGCGTATTAAACTGCAGGTGAACCCGGGTGCGCCTGGCTCCGCGCCAAGCCCACGCGCTTCCACCGCTCCGAACTCATCCCTGACCTTCAAAGACCCCAAGTCCTCTACCGGGCCCCACGGACCTCTCGCGGGCGAAGTAATCAAGACGCTTGGGCTCACTCTATCTAGAGGGAACAGGAGGCCCAGAGGGGAAGAGGGGACACCGAGGCCGAGAAAAGGGATGAAGAGCTTGCCTTGCCTTGCCTTGCCTTGCCTCACCAGAAGCGGCTGGGGTGAGAACCTCAGCGCCTGTCCAACGCCCCCGCCCACGCGAGCAGAACCCAAATCAAGGCCTGGGTGGGTCCCTCATCGCTGGGGGCCCGAGCGCTGGAGGGAACACAGGGCGTCGGGGAGCTCACGAGTCACCTAAAGACCCGGAGTAGGAGCTGCCGCGCGGCAGCCGCGGAGAGCTCCTGCCCGGCCAGGGCAGGACAGAGGCAGAGGCCTGTCCCGTGACGTGGGCGAGCGCGGGCGGCCGGGGCTGGGCGCTAGGCCCAGGTCCCCCCACAGCCGCCGTCTGCCGGGCCTGCGGGGCTCGGGTGCGGCGGGGCGCGCGGGCGGGGCGGGAGCGCGGGGCAGGGGCGGCGGGGGTGGGGGTGGGGGGAGCCCTTTGGAGAGCCGCGCGGCTAGGGCCGGGAGCCGTCTGCCGCGGCCCGCGGGGATTAGTTCGCGGCTGCATGCCGCCACACGCGTCGGGCTGGGCTCGGCTGGGTAGAAACAGCGCCCCGGGCGCGCGGGGGAGGGAGTGGGGAGGGCGCGCGGGGGCGGGGCGGGCGGCCTGGAGCTGGGCTGGGGGAGGCTGCGTTGGCCCCGGACTTGTCCCCTGGGAGCCCCTGGGGATGCAAGGAGGGGTCCTAGTGAAAAGGGGATTGTCCCTGGCTGGCCGAGTTCTTTTTGAAATTAGGGTACCTTGGAGTCTGTCTCTTCCAGAAGCCTCTGGGCCCCAAGGCCACAGGGTATAGAGGTATCCCTCTTCCTCCACTGTCAACTGAGAATTGGACAAGTCCCAAGGAGCCAGGTCCCCACACTGTCCCACTCAGGCAGCTGAGAGGAAAAGATAGATAAACCCCCATCTTCCCCGAAAGATCTGAGTCAAGACCTAAGATACTAAGGCAGGAGGTGGGTGTGAGCAGAAACTATCTCCAGCCCAAGCTCCTCTAGAGGTTGTCAGGATGGGCCCTGGGTCACCCAGAAGTCCCAGGGGGAGGACAGGGAGTGGGCTGGGGCTTCTCTGGGCTGTGAGGAGAAGAGGGGTTGGCAGAGCTGTCAGGCCTGCTGGGCGGGAGGCATGCACACACCCAGGGCCTCTGATTCAGAGAAGGTTCTCGGGGGCGGCGGGAATGACACAGAGGCTGGTGGTGTACCCTGACTGCCGGGAAGAGCTTTTGCAGAAGTACAGACATTTTACCTGCCCGGGCTTCCCTCACCCACACCTTTCGGCAAAAGTCCTTCCTGCTGGCTCTGGGCACCTTATCCCAGGCTCTCCATCCTAAATGCTGTTTACTAGGGAGAGGGTAGCTTGAGGAAGGTGACAGATGTGGATCTTTCCTGAGCCTGAGATATACAGTGTCAATGACAGAGCAGGCTAAGCCAGGAGTCAGTTCTCAGGCATGGAACCCGCTACCCTCAGCCCACGCAGCCCAGGCTGGAGACACTTCTGCCCCGTTTGCCTGGGGCCCGGTAGACCAGCCAAGACCAGATAGGAGCAGTCGGGCTGGTAGATGGGCACCTGGGGGGTGGGGAGGGGAGTTGCCAGCTTGAGGGAGTGTGTTGGGGGTAGTTGGCTTTCCTGGTGAAGGTGCTGGATGGGTGCGCAGAAGGGCAAGGGTGGGGGAGGGGCAGCTACCTCGGCTGAAGATGGGGCTCTCGTAGGGGATCTTGTTGCGAGTCTCCAGACTGGAGCAATTCCAGCGCTGGTCCCGGAACTGGTGCTGGCACTCGTGGATGGCGATCTGGATGCCCTGGATGGCCGAGGCGGCCACATCGGGGTGACGCACACACACTTCCATCTGCCTCCTGCTCAGGCCCGGCAATGTCAGGCACACCGTGTTGGCATTGAGCACGGGCTCCGGGGGGAGGCGGAGGCCCAGAATGTCGTTGGGTGCAGACCTGCAGGCAGTGAGGAGTGGGTGTGGGTGAGCGTTTGGGGGAGCTAGGAGGGCCCCACTTAGCAATCCACACTCTGTCCCAAAGGCCAGAGTCCCCCTGTTCCAACCTCTGCTTCTAAAGGTTAGGCTTACAGGTAGAGTCCTAAGCCTTCTCCTGTCCTTGGTCCTCTTATCATCATTGCCTCCAACGCCACTTGCCCAGCTGCACACCTACACAAGTTAACGTGTAAATGCGCACACGTCCAAAATGCCTGCACACGTATTTCATAAGGACCTGCTGAGGCCCTGATGCTCATGTCCGTAGCGTTCCCCAGGAGACCACTCCCAATGCCTGTTTCAGATAGTCCCATTCACACGGACACACTTCTCACCCATCGAGGGGGCCACACAAACCCAGGAATACTTACACACATGCACACTTCAGACAGAGCGATACATGCATACACACAGACACAAGAATGAACATGGGCACATCTTAACATGTATCTGATCTGTAAACTCAGTCACACACATGTGCACACACAGACTGCTGTTTACAACATAACCCGCAGGGTTCACAAAATCACACACACACACACACACACACACACACACTGAGAACCCTTCTGGCTGCAGCTGTCTCAGAGAGCCCCCCCCTGAACTCCTCCCTTCCCGGGCCGCCCCCCCCCCCGCCCCCCCCGCCCCAGTGCCCCTGGGGGGGGTCATCTCTGAGGTGGAGCAAGGCATTTTGAGCTCTCTCCTGGGGGTGGGGAGGCATTCCCCCAGCCTGGGACGGACTCCAGGTTGGCATTTTCCCCCTCACACATACACACACCCCGTCTGCTAGTAGCCTTCACTTTCCTAGGTACAGCCTTGTCTCCCAGGACTGTCCGGATTCTGTCACCAGTTCAGCCCCCTCCTATGAGGGCAGTGTCTTTCATTGGGTACCAGCACTTTCTTGCGACACGGTCCCTCCCTCCTTCCAGGGTCCCCTGCCCCAGCGGGAGCGCCAGAGGCCCCCCCGCGGCTGGGGGTCGCAGCTCTCCAGGAGGGCGGGGCGGAAGGTGAGGGCTCACCTGGGCACGGCGGTAGCCAGCAGCAGTAGGAAGAAGAGGAGCGCGCAGAGCGCGGGCCGCGGCTGGGGCCGAGGTCGGAGCCGCGGCCAGGGGCAAGGGTGGGTGCTGCCCATGGCGCGCGGGCCGTCACGGGCCAGGAGTGGGGGGCTCACAGCCCGGCGGGACCGGCGAGCCAGGGGCGACGGCGCATGATCCGCGGGGGTCGGGGCGGCTGCGACACACAGCTCCGACTCGGGTCACGGCTCCGGGAGCAGACGGCGCCCGCCTCCCCGCTCCATGGGGCAGCGCCCCCGGGCACCGCCCTCGGGGTGGGGGGGGGCGGGCGGGCGCACCGGGCACCTCCTGGCACAGGGGTCCAGGGAATTTCCCAAGGCCCCCCTGCGACAACTCCTGGTGCCTCTCGAGGGTAAGGAGGGGGCCGGAGGTGCTGCGGGCTGGGGACGAGAGGTTGGGGTGCCGGGGAGCCCCCCAGAGCAGCGCCTCAAGCCTGCGTGCTTCCGAGGGCGTGCGAGGCGGGCGGCGGGGGGGGGGGGGGGGGGGGGGCGGCGCTGCCTGTGCCCGGCCCCACAGCCCAGAGAGTGAGTGACTGTCCCGAATCAGGGATCTCTGCCGCCTCCCCTTTCCTCCCCCCGCCCAAGTGTCTCAGGGCTCTATCCCAGGTGACGTCACGACGGGGGAGTGTGTACTGGTCGTGAGGCCACCGAGACCGCTCAGGACTCGGGGTGGGAGCGGCGGTGCAGAAGGCAGGGGAAGGAGAAGTGTTGGGGGTCCGTGTGCGCGCGTGCACGTGGAGGTGCCAGTGCCAGGGGCGCACTGGTTTGTGTAAGAAGCTGTGTGTTACTGCGAGGCCTATGTGTCTGGCGGAGACACAGCTGCCCGGGAGGTGTCCTCCCAATATACACACCTGCAGGGGCTGGAAGGGAGGGGCTCCCCCCCCCTTGCCTCTCCCACCTCAGGAGGGACTTCCCGGGCTTGGCTGGAGTGGCAGGTGTGGGGGGTCCCCTGAAGAGGTTTGACAGCCTCTGGATTTTGCTCTTCTTCCCTGGGTGACCTTAAACAGGTGCCTCACGCTCACTGACCCACCCTTTGCCCCTTTGTGAAAGGAGGTTATAGAAGCCCACCTCATCTAGTCATCTAGTCAGTGAGCCAATGAAGGTAAATGTTTGTTTGGGAGCAGAGCTCCCTGGGGTGACATGCCCTGGGAGAGGGATTAGTGAGCCCTTTAATCCCCAAAGTGTGCTTTGGGGATCATCTTATTTTGTCCCCTTTTATTTCAAAATAAAATAATGAGGGGCATCTGGGTGGCTCAGTGGGTTAAGCCTCTGCCTTCGGCTCAGGTCATGATCTCAGGGTCCTGGGATGGAGCCCCGCATGGGGCTCTCTGCTCAGCGGGGAGTCTGTGTCCCTCCGCCTCTCTGTCTACTTGTGATCTCTCTCTCTCTTTCTGTGTCAAATAAATAAATAAAATCTTTAAAGAAAAAAAAATAATGAGGCTCAGAGAGGGCCATGACTTACTCAAGTTCACACAGCAAATTAGTCCAAGAGCTGGAATTGAGCCCAGTTCCCTTGACCCTGCACATAGTAGCAGTGGCCCCAACACTGAGTGTTGCTGGCCCCGGGCCTTCCTGCAGATGCTCTGGCTCTTGGCTGGTCCTGGTACTTGTACTTGGCTCTCTGGGAGCCACCCCAACCCAGGCTCCTGGCTCAGGCCCACTCCTCTTTGGGATTTTCCTCTTGTCCTCCCACCCCAGCTGAACACTGAGCTCATCTCAGTATGGAGTGAGTATAGGAGACCCAGGCAAGGGCCTGAGAAATCAGAAGGCTGGAGATAGAGGCTCCAGCTTCTGGTTCTGGTTCCAACCTGGACCCTGATAGGGAATCGTACTCCCACTGTGGTCTTATCCTCCTCCTCTGTAAAATGGGCATAAGGCTTCCAGTCTATATACACACCTCCCTCCCAACCTCATTGTCCTCTCCTGGGGTAAGGACAAACTCTGGGCTCTGAGACAAAAGGGGCCCATTCCTGGAATTGCCCATCCCTGGGGAATTGGAGAGGGGTGGGGCCTTCCCTGTCCCCAGACTGTCAGGTGGTAGGGGCAGCCTAAGCAACAGCAGGCTGACGGCATCCTCCCACCCCCCTTTTCCCCCCATCTCTGCCGGCAGCCACCGCAGCTGTCAGGAATTAAGGGCTTGAGGCTGCTGGGGGTGGGGGTGGGGCGATGGGGGGGTGAGCCGTCTGGCTGGACAGCAGGAAAACAGCCGGGGGCAGGAAGCAGTCTGCGTCAGCCAGAGCCTTGTTTGACCCCAGCCGCCCCCTGCCCTCCCCACTCTTCCTTCGCCATGCTGCAGGGACAAGGACAGCTTGGTACTAGAGTTTGGGAAGAGTATGGGGAAGGTAGAGCACGACCAGACTCAGCACAGGAAGGAGGCAGTGAGTCTGGGCTGGGAGAGGGCCCCACAGGGACAAGCCAGGCTGGGAGTTATGTACCCATTGGCTGTTGGGGAAACTGAGGCAAAGAAAGGATTAGGAAGAGGCCCAAGGTGGGACAGGGAATGCATTCATGACCTCCTTACTCCCTGGATAGAGCTCACACCAGCCTTTCCATGCTTGATGCATTGTATGTACCCCCTGGGATAGGCCGTTGTGCGGAATACTGATTCTGGGTCCCATGCAGCAGAATCAGCCTGCCCAGGGGCAAGGCCTAGGTTATCTCAAGTGATTTTCATGAGGACCAAATTTGGGAAATTCTACTGAGCTGCTCGAGAGGCCATTTTTTCCCCCTTTGACCTGCCTCTGCCTAGGGAAGGTCTCTCTGTCCCCCCCCCACCACTGTTCATGAAATATAGAGGTGTAAAACAGAGGGAGAAGACCCTTTCTTTGGAAAACCCCAGGAAGCAAATAATGACTCTCAAGTCTTGTTTGCACTTGGGCATAGTTCTGGCCTGATGTCACAAGGGTCTAAATGTGCCCAAGCCTGGGGCTCTTCTCAGGACAAGGAGAGGCATATGTAGGCACAGGACCTTGGCATATGCAGAGATGAGGTCCAGAAAGAGGGTCTGCAACTGGAGCCCGAATCCCAAATGACCCCCGGCCAGTGGGCAAGCCCCTATCAGCAGCCCCCAGACCCCGCCCTGGCCCTGCCCTGGGCCCTGGCCCTCAGCCCAGCCCCAGCCCCCGCAGCCGCCAGCTGAGACCAAAATTATAGGGGCCACTGGGGGTGGGGGGAGCAGTAGGGATGAAAGGCAGCTTGGAGAATGGTTCCAGCTGTGGCAACTCTGGAGGAAGCTACAGGGAAGGGAGGGCAAGGGGAGGCATCAGGGTGAGAACAGGTGGGCCCCTCATGGCCCCAGCCTGGTCCAGGCCAGGCTCAGTCCTGAGCCTCTGCAAGAGAAGTCTGTCTTGGTGAAGAGGAGAGGGAAGGAGCCCCAGACCCATAAGGGAGCTCCTTTATCTTATCCTTCAGGCCTCAGGGACCAGCACCCCTCAGCAAGGTAAGGGGATTAACTTGCTGCTTTAGTCCCGAACTCCCCTCCGGATGAGATGGTCATCAGAAGCAGGGGGAAATGAGCCCTTGGCCTTATTCCAGCTGCATCCCCACCCAGCTGCCTGCATTCTGGCTGTTCCTGATGTGGTCATGCACACATCTGGGGTGCCTCTGTGCTCTTCCATCTCCCCGGTACCACATGTCCCCCCACCACTCAGCCAGCAGGGAACCTTCATGGCTCAGACTGTGCCTGGGGCTGAGCAGGAGATGAGCAAGGCGTGGTGGTGAGGGGGCATTTCTGAGCTCTGCATCCAGCCTTCTTCCAAGGCAGCAGTGCAAGGGCACAGAGCTGTCTCTGAGCTTAAACATGGCCAAGATAGTGGTCAAAATGGTGCCTTTCAAGCCAAGGCTCTCACCCAGCACAGAAGCCATTTCCCAGACTCCCACTGAGCTTGGTCCCAGAGGATGGACTGAGAGCATACAACTAGCCATTTGAAGGTTGCAGTGTCCTCTTACCAGGTACTTCAAAGCTATCAGGCACCCCCATTTTTGACGGGAAAACTGAGGCTCAGAGAGATTTATAGACTTGATCAAGGTCAAGCTAACAGTAAGCCTTTTGTTCACTGTATCATACTACTTTCTCTGAATTCCTTTTAACCTGATTGGGGTGGTATCAGTTCATGCCACTGCCTCGGTTTCCTTCTGTGGCATCATGGAGTCCAGCAGCACCCACTCTGTACCACTCACTAGGACCTGACGGTAGAGATCGGGAAGCAAGCATCCTAGCCCTACGTCCGGGTCAGCCCCAGAGACCCCCAGACAGTCTGGAACCCTAACAGCTTGACCCAAGCTGTCTGTGGGTGTCCTTGCTTCTTTTCATCCCACCCTCTCCTGCCTACGGCTCTCTGAACTCCCCAAATGTCTTGCAGGTCTTGTCTATAGGGCTCTGTTAATAGGGAAGCTGGACTCTATGCGCCCTCTAGTGGTCTCTGATAGAAGTGCAGGAGATTGTTATTATTTATTTATAATTTACATATTTTGAGTATTGAACCCAGCTCTGGGGAAGGCAGAGCTGTGTATATAAGCTCCTGACGGAGCTTCATTTCTTCTCTATGTGGCCCACGACGCCAATTCTACTCTCCCCCTTGGTAAGTTATACAAACTTTGTTGAGTAGAGAGGTGCTGAGTCAAGATTCTCCATGACACTTCCCAGAAGCCCGGGGCCTTTGACCTAAGGGAGCCAGGAGGAGGCAGGAAGGAAAACTCAGATGCCCTTTCCTTCCCACTGCCACCCGATACCCCCCTCCATACATGCTTCACTCTGGGGTCGGAACGTGATTCTCTGATTCTCGAGGGCTGAACCAGGCTGTGTCAAGAGGTCCATGCAGAGGCATTGTGGGGAGGGAGGACAGATGCACTGGAAGGCGTGGGTTAGGTCTGTTACATCCAGGATGAGTTCCCCCTTCCTTTTGTTTCATTTGAAACACTCTTCTCTCTTCCCTATGCCCCCAATACCTGCGATCTTGGGTGGGGGTTGGGGGGCACCAGTCCCAGTCATGGTAATGCATCTTCCTGGATGGTTATTGGTTTGGGGATGGGCAAGTGACCCAAACTGCCAGATCAGGGTCTTCCTTAGGGCTTTTGCTGGGAAAACCATTCTATTTTAGACCACCAGCTCTAAGAATGTGGGCATAGGGCTGGCGTATAGAGAAAGTCTATCTGCAGCAGGAGGTAATGAGGACAGTATGAAAAGAAGAGCAGAGATAAGGTAGAAACTATGGACGTGGGCATAGTAATGAGGGAAGAAGACAGGGGAGAAAGACCCATGACATCGTTTGGGCCCCTGGGTTCTGTTGTACTTGAATTGTCTTACCTCTGGACTTCCCAGTTAATTAATTCCCTTTTTCATTATTTTTCCAGTAATTGATTCCTTTGACCTAAGCTAGTTTGAGTTGGGTATCTTCATTTGCAATGAGGGTCTTCCCTGAGAACATCAGCTATACCCACTCCCACACTAACTGCCATTTATTAAATATAAGCTTGACATAAATTATTGTGCCCAAGGTTATGCTAAGTGCTTTCCATATCTCAAAAAAAAAAATCCTCCCCATGATTCTATGAGAAGGTGAATGGGTTATGATGGTGTTGGCGCTTTCCCATTGAGTGGTGGAGTCGATTTCCCCTTCCCTTGAATTTTGGCTGGTTCTGCGATGTGGGTCCACCAATGGTGAGTGACAGCAGTGTTGTGTTGCCTTCCAAAGCTGGACCTTAAGGAACTTCTGCCTTCACACGCAGCACCACCTATTCTGAAAGCCAGTCTGGAGAAGAGGTCTGACTCTGCCAAAGCCACCATGCTGTGAGGAGGCCCAAGTTAGCTACACAGAGAGGAGGAGGCCAGGGCGGAGGCCTGGGGCACTAGACACATCTGAGGAAAGCCTCTTAGACTGTCCAGCCCAGCCCAGCCACTGCAGGAGGTGGCGAAGTGAAGGACCACAGCCAATAGTTCTGCCATAAGGAGCAGAACCACCAAGCTGAAATCTGGCAAACTCCTAACCTACAGGATTATGAGAAGTAATTATTTTGGGGTTGTTATGTAGTAATAGATAACTGAGACATGACGGTGTTCCCATTGTACAGCTAAGGAAACTGAGGCTAACGTGCCTATATTGTCACCTTCTAAGCAGCAGCAGTTTCCAACCCAGAGTGCCTCAATCCAGAGCTCATGCTTTGCCTACATACCTTGGTGGGACAGTCATTCTCAACTACAGTATTTGGACCGTGGGAGAATTAGGGGTCCCGAATCCCAGCCACTTGCCTATGCCCTCCCCCATCCACTGGAGGAAGATGGAGGCATGAGATTCAGTTCTGGAGAACCCAGAACCCCAAACCATTTCCTCTCTGTCCCTTCAGCCTCAACATCAGCTTCCTGAGAAAGAATCAGAAGGAAGGAAATGTGGTTGGGTGCCAAGAGAAAGCCTGGGACAACTTTGCTTCATCTCCCTCTGAGTGTAATTAGAAATGCTATTCAGGGCCGCCTTTTGGACGCTAATGCAGGTGAAGTTAGTTTTGATGGTAACAAAGTCTGATGTCACTAATAACATCATTTCATCACATTCTACAGTTTATAAAGTGCTTTAATCCTGTGGGCTTGGGTGGCCCTAAATGTCTACCTTGAATTCCCCAGGGGCCACAGAAACAGAAGGGCAGATGAAAGTGTCGCAGTCCCCCAGAATTAAGATGAGGACTGATCTGAGAGCTAAGTACACTACTGGAGGCTTCTGGTCTGCTTTCCTAGACCTGTTCAATCTGTTCCTTTAAAGAGGGATGGCTTAGGTCTTCCCCAGCTTGCAGATCCAGGCCGAGAAATGTGACAAGAGTGGCTCATCACCAGGTGACCAGGAGAGCCTAATCCAATAGGTGAGAAGACGGGGACCTAAGGATGCTAGTTCTGTCAAAACCAGCTTCCTTTACACACTCCTTTGGAAGCCTGGCCCCATGGCAGCCCCCCAGGGAGCCCAGCTCCCCTCCCAAACTGTGGGCCCAGTCCTATTGGTTTAAATACTTTTATTGATATGAAACTCACCCACCCACCCCATGGCCAACAGTTCTAAGGATTCCTGCATCCAGAGGCCCCGAGACTGGCTCTTTGGTTTCCATATAGGGGCCAAAGAGCGAGAGGGACTGCGTAGCCTCCTCCCGGAAGCCCTCCAGAGTGCTCCCTGGGGGCGGGGGGTGCTGTTCTCCAACGCCCTGGGCCTTCCTGGGCAGCCGTGTATCTCCAGCCCCACCGCCTCTCAGCTTCCGGAGGCATGGGAGATGGCCTGTGGCCAGGAGAAGTTGGGCAGCGCCCCCGCTGGGGTCCAGAGGTCCCGCAGGCGCCGGGTGGCGCGTCAGAGGCAGAGGCTGAGCTCCTTGCGCACGCGGCAGCGATGGCACTGCACGACGCAGCACCAATGGAAGCGGCACAGGCAGTTCTCCTCGAGTTGCACGCTCTCCTGGCGGTGCCCGCGGCCGCAGCACAGCAGGTCGCAGCCGCTGAGGTCCGGAGCAGTGCTGTTGCAGGCGCGGCCACGCGTGCCGGGCGAGCCGGTGCGCCGGTTGGGAGCGCAGAAGTCGGGCGAGTCGGCTGCGTAGAGGAGGTCGGCGCGGCCCGGCGGCTTGAGAGTGCGGACCGCGGGCAGCAGAGCCTTGCCGTCGTTGGTTCCCATAACACGCGAGGCGCCGTGGAAGCGCTCGAGCAGCCGCGCGCCCACCTCGCGGAACGGGGGCAGCTTCTGCCAGCAGGTCCGCAGCGCGCACGAGCCCGACAGCCCGTGGCACTTGCACTCGGTGCGCGTATGGCTCCGCACAGCCTGCGGGGAGCAAAGGAGCGGGTGGTTGGGGACAGATCAGGGGTGCGTGGTTTGGAAAGGCCCAGAGGACCGACCTAGAATAAGGTGGGGAGGGTGGGAAGGGGTGGGGTGGACAGAAGAGAGAAAAGAGCAGACCAAAGATAAAAAGAAGAGTGCACGGTGGAGAGGAGGAAATCCAGGGAGCAAAAGCTCTGAAAGAAGGAAAAATGATCAAGGTGGAAGAGTAAGAGAAGTGGGGGGAGTGGGGGCGCTGTACCAAGTAGCACAAAGACCGCAGGATCCAAAGTCAGGGAATGGGAGAGCAAGCAGAATGGACGGCAGGGGTGAGATTCTCCCTGGAGGGAGGCGGGGAAGGGTTGCAGCTGTCGCACTCTCTTCCTCCTACCACCCTACCAACCCGCCCCCCTCTCCTCGCTGCCCCTCACGGCCCCAGGCAGGGCTGAGCAAAGTCGCAGAGCCGGCCTCCTGGGCGTCTGTCTCTGCCACCCCTCCCCACCCGTCTCTGACAGGTATGTGGGCCTGTCCGGACATTCCTCTCTGGGCCCCCTCTTAGCCCCTGCCTGATGCCTCAGGCCTGAACCCTGGAGGACACAGGGGCATCCCCAGAGTACCCTAGAACTGAGGCCTAGGGTGCTGGAGGGCCACTGTGAATGCATTACTGAGAACTGGAACCCAGAACTCCTGCCCCTTATTTGCTATTTTGTGTCTGAAGCTGAGGTCTAAGATCACAACCCCTCTAGAAATTTATGGTGTCAGATGACCCAGGAAGATCATCTCTGGAAGCTCAGAGTCCAGAAGCCAACCTGATCTACAGACTTGTGTGCCCCGCCCCCTTACCATGCCCCACCCCCACCCCCAGGCCTCTGTCCTTCCTCATTCGCGGGGCTGGAAACTTCTGACCTAGACAGCTTCTTGTCCCTAAAAAGGAGCTCGTGGGGCCCTCCTCCTTGCAGAGGGAAAGGGAGAGGCTGCCAGGATCCCCAGCAGGACCCACTCCGGGGTTGGTGGGTAGCCAGTTGGCAAGTACCCAGATTCGGTCACAGCTTTCCTGGCCTCTGCCTGACTCCCTCCTACCTTCACCAATTTCTACTCTTAGCCTTTTCACAGCTTTCCAAGCCCATCCCTCTTGGGCCTGTTCTAGCCCCTCCCGGCCTCACCAGACTCCTCCACCTCCAGACCCCATACCTTTGCCCCAACTTCTATCTTTTCTTTCATCCCCAGCTTTTGTCACCCTCCTCTGCCCCTACTGGGGCAGCTAGGTCTCTACCTAGCCCAAGCTTTGTCCCATCTGTCCGGTCTCAGAGGTTTGTCTGCCCTACCTGAGGTCCCTAAAAGCCCAGAGTCTTCTTCCCTGGGAGTCCCCTCCCAACCCTGCCCATTAGACCACCAGCGCCAGGCCCTCCCAGCCTCCCAAGGGACTCCTTCTTCCAGGCTGGCCCCCTTATCTCCCACGCACCCCTCCACACCCCCAGCCCATCTCCCCAAGTGGTCCCTCTCTACCACGTGGCTTCCACACCCCTAACACCCTCCCACACCTACACGGCCTCGCGCACACCCCCACTTCCACATACGACCACCAACACGCTCCCACAGGCTCTACCCTCACCCACGTCTGCTCACACCCACCCATACTCGCACATTCACACCCACACAGGCTCTTAATCCAGCCCTGCCCCCACTCACCAGCCGGCCCGCCTCGTTGTTGTGAAGTTGCACTAAGGCACGGATGTCTCCGCGTCCCCGCTTGTGCCGCGCATCCATGAAGAGCCTCGACTTCTCGTCCCCGAAGTCCACGTCGTCGCCGCAGCCTCCCCACTCCCAGGCGGCGCTGCCGTCGGGGGAGCCGGCGGGGCCCGGGGGCCCCGGGGTGCCCGGCAGACCGGGGGGGGCGGGGCGGGGCCCGCCCGCGGGGTGCCTGGCAGCCGCACTGCAGCAGCTCACCCATGGAGCAGGCCTGCGTGACCGCGTGGCTGGCGCCCGCAGCCGTGATCGCGAACACGAAAGCCGTCTCCCGAATGTCTGCGGGCGCAGGGAGGGGCAGTCAGCGGGCAAGGCCGAGGCCGGGTTGGGGGGGTGCGGGGTGCGGGGAGGGGCAAGGCTGCGTGGCTGGGAGACAGGGTCGGGACAGGGTGCGCACAGACTCGTGGGACGGGTGGGGCTCAGGCAGGCTCTTCCAACTTCCCTCCCCACTGATCCCCCAGAGAAGCAAAAGCCGCTCCCTGGGTGCTCTGCCCCCACTGACCCTGCTGCAGGATGCGCCCAAAGGCCTTGCTGTGGCTGGAGCAGTTCCAGCGGCGGAAACGGAACTGGAACTGGCACTCTCTCACCCCAAGCCGGGCGCCCCGGGCTAGCTCCGCCACCACTTCTGGCTCGGCCTGGCACAGCTCGGCTTGCCGTCCTGCCAGCCGCCGTGCTTTCCTGCAGATGCTGGTGGGGTCCATGACCAGGGGGCTGCCCACCGCCCTGGAAAGCAAAGAATGGAAGGTATGACTCAGAGGGCTTGGGGCGATGGGGAGGGAGACCAGCCCGGCTCAGCCCAGGGCTAAGGGCTGGCATGCGGCTCTTGTCTCCCCCACCCGAACGGGGTTTGAGATTGTCCTGTCTGGTTCTCCTACCGTTCCATGTCCCCTCTTAAGTAGATTTTATTTCATTTTTTTTAAAGATTTTATTTATTTATTTGACAGAGAGAGATAGCTAGAGAGGGAACACAAGCAGGGGGAGTGGGCAAGGGAGAAGCAGGCTTCCCGCTGGGCAGAGAGCGGAGGCGGGGCTTGATCTCACGACCCTGGGGTCGTGACCTGAGCTGAAAGCAGACGCTTAACGATTGAGGGGCCCCTCTTAACTAGATTTTAGACTAAAATTGCTATAAGGCAAGGATTCAGTCTTATCCTTCTGTGCATATCTTCATTAATAAATCCTTATAGGAATTTGACTCAAGGTCAAGCACGCGGCACCAGGTGAGCCAAAAAGCAGGCAAGGAAGAAATGAACAGGAGGAAGATCAAGAAAACTGTCAGAGTAAAAAACAGTCATAAATCATAAAAAGATGCAGAGAAAAGTAGGCAGTATCAAAGAAGGATCCGGTCTTAGTGGACAACAAGCTGGTTTTGGCTGCTGAACACCCTGACGCAGGAAAGACAGGGCCAATCCCAGGGATATGGAAGGCCATAGGATTTTAGAATGGTTAGGAAGGGGAGCTCTGCAGGCAGCCACAACCCCCTGGCCAGGTCAGCTTGTCCTGTAAAATGGGAAGGTTGGGCTTTTATCTCTACAGTGGGCCCCTGGCACCATGATAGCCTGCTTCCCTGAACTGGAGAGCAGGAGGAAGTAGCTGGGGACCGGGACTCTGAAGCATGACTGTGAAGTAAGTGACACCGACCCTTCCGCTCCAGGGTCTGCGACCTCTTCAGAGCAGCAGGGCAGCAAGCCAAGCCCTGATGTCTCTGGCAGTGACTGGTTTGGAGAGAGGGAACCCAGTGGAACTGCTTTAATCTGATTGCTCAGACTTGACCGTGGTGCTCGCTATAGGAATGAGTGGGGGGAGCATTTGGACCTGAGCGTCATTCAAGATCCCCCAAAACCCTTCAGCAGAGGGCAGATAAAGACTCCCCACTGGGGAAAAGTGGCACCAGGAGATAGAAAACATAGAGGAAAGTGGGAGCTAGGTGCCAAAGGTCAAGGTGGCCTACTTTTCAGTTCAGCTTTTGTGCCCCCCCCCCCCCCCCATTTGCTCCGAAAGTACAGGCTGCCCAGGCGTGTTCAGGCCCCAGGACAAGGAGATGTAATGGGCTTGAACAGCAGAGAGTGGAATTTAGGTCTTAAGATAGAACTTCTTAACTCTGGGGAGTGAGATGCTTGAAGAGGGAGTTCCAGGAAAATGTATAAGCTCTGTCCTCTAAGGTCTCCTACTCTCCCCCGACACCAGACCCCACCCTGTCAGATCATTGTCAGTCTCCCTATCCAAGTAATCCTGAAGCCGTGATTCTTCTCTCAGTGAAGAGACTTACAGTCCAGACCTTCCTTCCTCCACGCTTAAGAGCTGCTCGTCACTGTGTTCCCACGTTCCCACCACAGCTTGGAAGGGTTCAGCTCCAACCCCTTCCCAACCCTAGAGAAGTGGTGGATGGAGTGATAGGGAGTGGGCCATGGGTGGGGTACGGCAGCCCAAGCTGGTTTTCAGGGGCCCAATGACCTTCAAGTGTAGATCAGTCCTTATCTCTCTATCTATCCACAGATTATCTATTCCCCCCCCCCAACAATCCACTTATCCACCTCATTACAACAAGGTATTTGAGGCAGCTTCCAGCATGGCTGTATAGGGTCATAAAATAAGACAATGAGCACCTTGGGAGTTAGAAGTGACATTTTCTTTTGCTTCCCATAGCAGATTTTTAGGTGCTTACTTGGCATTTCCCCCAGTTTTTATTATGAAAGTTTGCACGTTGTGAATGATCACTATAATAACACAATGAAACGCTTTAATACATGCTTTTGAATGAATGAATGAGCCGTCTAGGGACAATGTCCTCAACTGGAGGCCAGGCCCCTGTCCACATGTGATTCCAGGACTCCTGATTAGCTTCCTCTCTCCCCAGCCCCTCCCCCCACACTGGTTGCAAAGGCAGGGAATCAGCCTCCCTGGGGCTGTCCAGGTCCTTGCCTGCCACCTGGGAGTCTGGGGCTCTGCAAACTCATCTTCCCCCCCCCCCCTTCCCCCCCCCCCCATGCCACTAAGCTCCCCAGCCTCCCCATCCCAACCCTGCCCTCTGCTAACTCCCTACTTTGCCAAGGTTGACTGGCCTTATCCTCTCAAGGTTACTCTGACCCCATCCCTCTCCTCTCACTCCTCCTACCCTGGGGAAGCAAGAGAGGGTGGGGGTATGCCAGGAGAAAAGCAAAAAGCTCCAGACCTTGTCTGCTTGCCAGGGGCTAGAGATAGGAGAGGATCCCGAGGAGCAGGAAGGGTAGGGCCCTCCAGGAGGTGGGGCCAGCCCTTTTCAGGGCTGAGGGGCTGCCCCAGAGTTAGTTGCTGGTCTGGGTCTGGCTCCCCAGGCTGGCTGGCTGCCTGGGAAAGAGGCTTGTTTACGAGCTGGTCAGGAGGAGGGATGGGCAATAGTAGCAGCTAGAATCCCAAGGGACCAGCTTCCTCCCTGCCCTGCTGTCCTCTCTCCCATCCCCAAGTCACAGGAAAGAAAAGTCCAGAAGAGTGGGGGGGGGGGCATCTCCTCATCTCCCCTCTTCCTTTATCCTTCTTTCTTCCCTTCTGCTTCCTTAGGGAATCAACTCTGCTTTTTTGGTCTTTGAGTCGGCATTGGCCCCGGGTCAGCCCAGGGAAGATGGGCCCATATGGGAGCGTCTGCATGTTTGGGGGGGCTGGAGCCCAGTGGTGGTAGGAAACAGAGAATGTGTAGTATGTAGGATCTGAGATCTTAATCAAATAGCCATTCCTGGGCATAGAAAAAATGAGGCTAATCCCAAGAGAAATCAGTATGCAGACAAGAAGGGACAAGCCTAGGGTTGGCCATTCTAACTGGCTTGGCCAAGATATCCCTCCCAGGGACCTTGATTGGTAGAGTCAATAGCCAAGTGAGGTGGCTTTAGGGGACCAGCCAGTTCCTACTGGCAACATCTGTAGATCTAAGCCCTGGAGGCCCCAGATTCTGGCCTAAACTGCCTTCTCATGCCTAGTTTCAGAGGGCCAAAGGGAATGTCGGAAACCACCTAGCCCTGTTCTAACCACCTCATCCCTCATTATACAAACAGACATCCAAGGAGGGAGGTGAGACTCAGGCCACTCAATGGACAGATCCTTACTGCAAGGAATTCAGGTGAATATTTTAAAAAAATTTTTTTTAAATATTTGTTTGCAAGAAAGAGAGAGAGAAAAAGGATGAGCAGGGGGAGGAGCATGCTGAACGAGGAGCCCAGCATGCCCGGGCTCCATCCTAGGACCCCAGGATCATGACCTGAGCTGAAGGCAAGTGCTTAACCGACTGAGCCGCCCAGGTGCCCCTAGGTGAATATTTTTGAAACCAAAGGGGCTGGAGGGTGATGACCACATGAGATTATCAGAAGACCTCAGGGGCCCTCACCTGCCCTTCTCCCCGCTGCCCTTCCTCACTCTTAGCAGGGTTGGCTAACTCTGCATTCATCCCAGATTACACCTCTAACTTTCTGGACTCAGAGCCACACCCTCCCAACCCAGAAGTCATTGAAATCATGTCTCCAAGCTCACCTCAGATCTTATTGCTGCAAGGAGCCACCCCTGAGCCCCAGCCCTCACTGACCTCCCCCTCCTGTACCGCATCACCCCAGTGTCGCTCATTTGACTATTTTGTCTTGTTTTCTGGTCATATAATGTCATCAATAGCACACCTTCAGAGTTTGGGAAGTCTGCGATTGGGGTTTGGATCTGGGCTCTGTCATTTGCTTGTTCTAGGATGTTAGCAAGTCCCTCACACATGAAGCTGGAACTTAATATTTGTTGAATGAATGAGTCCTAACCTTCTGAACCTCAGTTTCCACAACTATGAAATGGAAATAAATGACACCTGCCTGTTTCTCTGGTACACAGGAAAGGGGTCTGTCCCAACCGTGAGCTCCAGCAAGAGGGTGTCGCCTTCCCGGCCACACCTGGGTTCATCTCTTGAGCCTGCCCAGTGCAGGACAAGGAGTAGAAGCCCAGGCAGCTTTTGTGGGCTCCTGAGAACACCCTTTTCACCAACTCTCTGCCCTTACTCCTCAGCTAGGATCCCTGCGTTATGTCCTCTTTTGCCGGCTGTGCCCCTGGACCAGAAGCGCCCACCAGGACCCCTCCCTTTCCCCCAGAGAGCACTCCTGGGTGGGTTATTGAGGCTGAGGAGATCACAGACCCTTTTTATGCCCAGCCTCCTCTGAAGGGCCTCATGCCCCCCCCACCATTTCCTCACACTCATCCCCAGGGTCCCTAGTCTGACCCCCACCTCCTAGAAGCCAGCAGAGGGAGCCCTGAGCCCCAGGGCTATGGGTGGGGGCTGCACGGGGGTGGGGGAGGTGGGTGGTGGAGAAGGGGCAGAAAAATGTTGCCTGACGGCTGCTGGAGGCGGCTGGGCCCGGGCCTGTGCCCGCCCGCCCGTCCTGTCCTGCTCTGTCTAACTCGGTAATTACTGCTCCCTCTCCCCCAGCCCCTACCCCCACCCCCACATCAAAGCCAGTGATGCCCCAGCTCCTTTTTAACCCCTACCTCCCCACCGCCCATTCCACCAGACACCCCATGCACCCCTCTCCCACAATCTGGTTCCCACTGCCCCATCCTGGACACTGCCCTTCCCGGCTCCTCACACCACTCCACTTCTTGTAGCTCTTGGAGAGGCAGGGGCTCTCCCTTCCCTGAAGGCCTTCACCCACCAAGAGGGCTTCCTGTGGGTCAGGGCCGTGGGAGGAGAAGGAATGGACACACTGACCCTCCAGTGGGTTCTCTGAGGAGAATCTGTCATGTCCCTCTGCTCTCCCATGCTGAGGTGGGGAATAACCATGGGAAGAATGGCCCTATACCCTTCTCCTGACCCCCACCCCTCACTGAATTAATGCAGGGAAGAGGTACTGAGCAGGAGGCCGACTCTCAGCCCTGGTCCTCACTGCCTGCTTCTGGGTGGCCCGAGGCAAGTCCCCTCCTGTCCCTGGACTTTGAGGGACTTCTAAACATAAGTGAGAAGATTGGCTTAGACGATCTCCAGGTCCTTCCTCGATCTAATTTCTGGCTTAAATCAGGGGCTTGGAACCAGAGGAAACCGCTTTTGAGGCCAGGTGGAAAACAGAAGATCCCTCCCAGCGACCTTTCCTCCCTTAGCTCCGCCTCAGGCACATCAGGGGAAGCACCCAAGGTCTCACCCTACCCTGCCCCGGGCAGGAAGGACACAGGCTAGAGGGCGCTCTGCCCAGTCCCCAGGCACAGGATATTGTGTTCCCTGGTGCCCCCGCCCCTCTGCTGGCTGGGAGCCCTGCTGCCAGACTGACCAGGGTCTTGTTGCCCACACCCCCCGCCCTCGCTTCATCCCGTCCACAGCTGCATTTCTCTATCAAAGTACACATTCTGGAATCCCCCTTACTGGGCCCTGGTGATCAAACCTCCCACTGACCTCTCCCTCCACCAACTCCTGGCTTCTGATGAGAATGGGGCAGGAGGGGGCTGTCCCCCCCCCCCCAGGAAATGCCCCAGTGCCAGCCCTCTGGTGGGCTCTGGGCCGATTCAAGCCAGCCTCCTTTTGCCCCTGCCCTTTTCTGCTCACAGCCCCATTGTCTCCCTCCAGGGGAAGCTGCCAAAGCGGGAGGCTGGAGGGGGGGTACTGGATGGCCACCCCACCCCCATTCTCCACCCCACCCTGAGCTCAATGGGGGCCAGCTACCGGACTGCCCACAAAGGGTCAGTTAAAGATGCAATGGAAGATGGTGGCCAAGCCCAGCCTGGAGCTGGTGGGGGGAGCTCTCAGCTGGAAAACCTGGGTATCAGGAAGAAGCCTAGGTCCTTTCCCTGACTCCCTGTGGGGCCAGAGATGAGACTGTCCTAGGCCTCTGGCTCCTATTTCCTTTCCCTAAGGGGTGGGAGGGGGGAGAAAGGCAAGATGAGATGGCAGAAGGGAGTGAGACTGGGTGCTGTTTTGCATGTGGAACAAGGGGGAGGGTTGGTTTCTTTCATAGAAAATATAAAACAGAAAGAGGAAGGGAGAAGAAGGGAGACTGATATGGCTATTCTGTGAGGGAGCTATTTTCCACAACCACTGATTGAAGGCATAAATAAAGATTGGTCAGACATTGAGAAGAACTTCCTGGGGGAGGGTGGGAGGGGTTCAGAGCAGGCTGGAAGGGCGCCCCCGGAAGCCAGGCTTTCCTTCTCTGCCTCACTCTCAGAATGGGATCCGTCAGGGCCAGAGCACAGGCTGGATGGCCTGGAGGCAGTGGGCTGGACAAGATGACCTCAAGAGAGCCTGGCCAATGTCTTGGAATCTGGGATTTTGCGATTTACAAAGATATGGTTACAGATGGGAAAGACACAGACCGAGAGGCCGGAGGCAGAGTTTAAAAGCATGCATTGCATGGAGGGGGAAGGAGGAGGGGGAAACAAGGTGGAAGGGAAACTTTTCTGGAATCCAGAGCCGGGTACCTGAGCCTATTCCAGGACCTGGATCACTCCCCTACAGGACCCTCCTTTCCTAACTGGGCAGTCCAGTCACTCAGAGTTCCTGGGGTCCTCTCTGTCCCCAGCCTGGTTGCTACCAGAATGTCAGAGTGCACTACAATGGCTGCCACCTTTCTGTCTGCTAGAGCTCTGGTCTGGCTAGCATTCTCTAAGAAGCAAGGACAAAAGGGCCAGCAGTTAGGTCCTAGACATCAGGGAACAGCCTGGAAGCCCCGGGCCTGATAAAATTCCTAGCCAAAGTAAAGCTGGCATGGGGGGCAGTGCTGGGGGGGGCGGGAGGGGGGGGCAAGGAGTGGCAGGAGGCTTAGGCCACCGGGGATGCTGGGTCCACCCCTCCAGCCCAAACCAGATCTTGGAGAGCGATGGTGGGGTGGGGACAAGAGAGTAAGCAAGTAGAGTCAAAGATCCTGAGAAAGGAATCTGGGATCAGACCAAAGGAATGAAGTGTCAGAAACAGACAGAAGAGAGTGAGGGGGCCTGTGCAGGTGGGAGAGGCAGGTTCTCTCTGAGAAGCAGCTGAGAGTGGCAGTTGCTGGACACCTTATCACCCCAGCCCCTCACTCTTCACCCAGCTCGCCCTGCAGCTGCAGCCATGAAGGCTCCTGTGTTCTCCTACACCTGCCCTCCTCACCTCCTCCCCCACTCCAGGCTTCCTAGCTCCAGGGTCAGTCTCCAAGGGACCAGGCCTCTCTTCCTCTGGCTTGTCACCCATGCAGCAGCCCCTCCTGAACAAAGGAACCCCCACAGACACAAGTCTCAGGGAATCAACCAATTCAGCAACACTCTGCAAAACTTCCCCAGCCCCTTTAGCCTCCAGGGCCCAAAGACAAAGAAGCAGGGAAGAAGGACCACAGAGGGGATGGTTGTCAGTAAAATGAAGTAACTAGCATAGTTACCCAGTGTGTGGCGCGCAGTGGGAGCACACAGAAGGCAAAAGAGGAAAGACAAAGAGACAGTGTTACGGAGGATGTGGTATTTTACCTGGAAGAATAAGAATGATCTGGAGAAGTGGAAAAGGAGTAGAAGGAGGACAACCACCATCAGGGAGAGACCGGTCTCCAGGCCTTGAGAAACGGCAAAATGAGAAAGTATGAGTCTGTAACACTAGACAGAGATCCCTTTACAAAGTTTTGGTTGGGACTCTGGATTTTAAATTTATTGTTTTTAAAGTTTTATTTATTTATTTGACAGAGAGAGAGAGTGACAGAGACAGCGAGAAGGAACACAAGCAGGGGGAGTGGGAGAGGGAGCAGCAGGCCTCCCCGCGGAGCAGGGAGCCCTAGGAGGGGCTCCATCCCAGGTCCTTGGGATCTAGATCTGAGCGGAAGGCAGATGCTTAACGACTGAGCCACCCAAGAGCCCCTGGATTTTTAAATTTAAATTAATCCTCCTTTTCACCCCTACAGACTCTGGCCAAGAAAACCCGCAGCGTGAAGGAGGGGACTTAATATTTACAGAACACCTCCCAACGTCAGATCATTTTGTAGGTCCCCGCACCAAATCCTCCTATCCCGCCCCATTAGGGGACTGTTTCTCACTTTTATAGTTGAGACGCTGAGGTGTAGGGATAACTGACTTATCCAAGGTCACGGATTTAACAAATGGCCGAGATTAGATCTCAGAGCTATTTCAAGACCCATACTATCATTATGCTAAATTATGCTAAGCCAGGATCTAAAGCCGCAAGTCCCCTAGCCCGGACCTGGGTCATCCTCGATTTGCTCCTTCCCTGACACCCCCGAGGGACATCTCTCCCGCATCGCGAAACAGGGATCGCAGCCAGCAGCTCCCTGTGTGGGCATCCAGCTCCCCATCTCCCTGGAAGAGAGGGATCTGCCTGCCCCACCCCTCCTTCGAAATCGGGGGATGGGGGAGGAGTGGAGGATAGAGAATCCAGCCAATGATATGGCGCTATGCAAATAGACCAGACCCTGCTTTCTTAGGATTGGCTGATGCACCAGTGATATTGTCCAAGTCCCCCCTCTTTAAACACCCAGCTATTCCGGGCGGGTCTTTGCAGCCCTGGAAAAACCGGGAAGGAAAAAAAAAAAAGTCTACGGACTCCAGATCTCTGAGAGGTCCCGACCCGGCACCCACTTTCCTAGTCGCTCTCCATCCCCAAGACTCAAAGTTCCTTAGCTCCGTAGGTGTCTGCTCTAGGTAGGGCCAGGTCTGGAGGCTACGTCCCCATTCCCTAGTTGGCCAGGCCTCCCTCACTTCCACGAGGACCCTTCACGATTCCGGTACCTCCGAGGCTGTATTTTCTCATTCCTGACCCCCACATCTGGAAGGACCGGGAGCCCGGATCCCTTTCCTGTCTTTCTTCCTCTTCTTTGCTCCGGAAGGAGGATGTAGAGAAAGCCGGGGGTCCTGACTCAGTTTCCCTTTACGTTTTTTCCCGCCACTACTGTCCACTTTGAAGTAGCACTCAGAAGCTGGTGGGTTGTTGAGCAAAGTAAGGCGGGGAAGAGACAGCTGTTTGACCCTCCTTGCCTCGTGGCTTCCCACCTTGTTCCTCTCTTTCCCACAAATCCAGCCCTCCTCCCCTAAATCCAGGGCCTTCCTTACACATTCTTTTCTTCGGATCTCTGACTACAGATCTTTCCCCTGTCTGCCCGGTAGCTCTTTCCTACCCCACGTGCCAGTTCCTTGAGGACCTGGATTGAGCGCATAACCGGAGGGGGAAAGGGAAGGATGGGGAAGGGTGTGTGGCAAAGGTAGGAGGAAATAACAACAGAATGTGCGGAGGGGAGGTTGAGGAACGTCTGAGTGGCAGTTTAGAAATGACCCAGGCAGGGGCCGGCAGGAAAGCGGCACGCACCTCCGCTGCCGGGGGCTGGGCTCCGCTAGCAGGTAGAGCCGGAGGCAGCTGGAGCGCGCTTCCGAGCACCCCCCCCCAACCCCAGTCAGTCCCGAAGCCCCCACCCTTGAGCTTCGGGAGCCACGCGGGGACAGACAGCCCGACGCAGCACTCACCACCACAGTCCGCCGACGTGCGCGGGACACAGAAGCAGCAGCAGCAGCAGCCCGAGGAGGGAGGGCGCGGGCGGCAGCATCTTGAGCACTCTGCAGCCGGCCGGTGCGGTAGGGGGCGAGGCTGCGGGGCCAGCCGGTGCGCGCGGGGGCGCGGGCTTCAGGGCGAGCGCGGCGGTGGCGGCTGCGGCGGCCGGGAGGCGATGGCTCCGGCGGCGGCGGGGGGGGCCCATCGCGGGCGAGGAGGGCGCGGCGGAGGCGGAGAGCGGACGGGGCAGCCAGCGCCTGTGTCTCCCGCCGAGCTCGCTCGGGAGAAGAAATCAGAGCCGGGGGCGGGGGTGGGAGGGGAGCGGGGCCCGGGCGGGGGCGGGGGACAGGGGGGCCGTGGGGTGGCAGTTGCGACAGTCAGGCGGCGGGACTCTCGGGAGAGAGCCGTGCGCCCCGGGGCTGCAGGCGCGGAGCTCTGCCGAGGGAGGGTGCGAGGTCCCGGGGCGGGGCCCGAGAGCGCCCGTGGCTGCGGGACCCGCCTGCCTTGCCCCTTTCCTTCGCCTCTCGCGGACTGGGAGCCCCCCGCCGCCGCCCAGAGTCGGGGGCAAGGAGGGGCGGGGAAGCAGGGTGGAGAGAGGGGGGGTGGAGAGGAGCTGGGGAATGGGGGACGGGCTGGAAGGGAGACGTTTGACAGGTTTGTTGACTGTAAAGAGAGAAAACTTCCCAGGAATGAGGGAGTTGGGGGGGGGGGGGCGGGGGGGGGGGCGGGAGGGGGGGCCGGGAGAGGAAGTCCTCTTGGGTCGCTGGGTGCTCCGGGGAGGGGTACCGAACTCGATCGTCGGATCAGCGGACCCGGGGGGGGGTCACCCCTTACCGGCTCCGCCTCCGCGCTGCACGCCCCTTTCTCAGTCTTTCCACGAGGAGAGGAGGAAGCCCTAGGCCTCCACTCTCGCTCCCCAGCCACCCCGCCTCTTCAAGCCCGCGTTCGGGGGAGGGCTGCGGGGGAGATTAGACAGCCAGAGGAACCTCCTGAATGGCCTGCGCTCCAGCGCTCGCACGTGTGAGCGAGCGATAGAGCTGAGGTTGCAGACTTACAAGAGAGTAGGAGGGCAGATCTCGCAGCAGCCGGCCCTCGCGTGTCCGCGCATAGCCTGCCTCGCGTTCTTTCCCCAACTTGGCCGGGGCCAGAAGGGGTGGAAGAGCCAGCTGCAGGTGAGATGGCGTTTATCTGATTCTCTAATGCCACAAAAATGTCTTTGATGCCCCTGCCCCCCCCCCACGAGGGGGGCAGATCAAAGGCCCCGTGGGGAGGAGGGACAGCTCCATTCATCACACCCAGCGGACTGGCCGTGGCTGCAGTCCCTGCCCCGCTCCTCCGCCTGCTTGCCCCAAGGGTGCCGAGGGACAGGTGGTGCAGGACATTCCACAACAAGGGCCAGTCTCCCTATCGCCAACATCTAGAGTAGCATCAACCTTTAAGGGGGGCGGGGTGGGGTGGATCTCCTAAGTGGTAGAAACTTTAGGCACACAGAGGAAAGCTCCTGGTCTTTTGCGGGTGGAGATGGCACCCGAACTCTGGGAGTGAGGCTGCTGTCCAGAGAGATAAACATCCTTGGAGAGCAGAGAGAAGGCAAGATTGAGTCCCCCAGAGAGTGAGGACAAGTGAATGGTGATGAAGCTGGGGGACTAAGGGGATGCCACAGAAGATCATAGATGCCCTAACCCAGGAGGTGAGGCTGACCTGGGGAAGGGTGGATGAGCACGTGGGGAAGCTCCTAGGATTGTTGTGAGTCCAACCCCATGGCCTGAGGTGTCCTGGCTGTGTCAGTCTATTCCCCTGTACTGGGGACAGAGAATTTTGGTGAGGGAGCTGGAGCAGTCTAGAGAAGGGGAAGGGACCCTGGGTGGGTCCCCTAGTGGCGAGAGGGAGCCAATGAGGAGCGTGGGGCCCATTTTGGCCTTTCTTGGCGTCCAGCTGTCACCCATGGCCTCTGCACCTCAACTGTGTACACAGTTACTGTTTCTGCAGGGCAAGGCCAACTCTGGACACAGTACACTCAAAAGACATACTCAGGTTGGACACACACTCAGGCCAGATGGTACTAAACAGGCATCTGGAGAGTTTTGGGGGTTCCTATAGGCTGCAGGTGGCCAGTGACCAGACCCATGGGAACCACTGCCTGGGTTCTGAGTCCCCTACCCACCCCTGCCCCCACCCTGCTACTGTTATTGCAGATTATGAAATGCTCTCCCTATCCTGCATTCTTCTCCGAGGCAAGAATTTTAATGTATTTGTCTTTGTCATCAGGGGACCAGGGCTCTGGGACCGCCCTGCCTCTGCCTGAGGAGGGAGCGCCCCAAATCTAGTCCCTGCTGTCTCCAGACCCCAGCCTCTTTCCATTACCACCCCCTCATGCCCTGGCCCGGCCCCTCGCCTCCCTCTCCAAAGACACAGTCTCTCTGTGGGGTGGATAAAAATGATGTTATTGAAACAACAGAATTGGGAGCAGTGGCAGGGAGCGGGGATCAGCGCAGGAAACTGGGGCGTTTGCCAAGAAGCCTTCTCCCCCGCAGGCGGCCCTTCTGACCCCACCCCCCACCTTTCCTACAAACACACACAGATCACCCCACCCCTCCTGCAGCACTCTCTCTGGCCAAATCTTTCAGAATATTTGGCCATCCCTCGATTCCCCCAAGCCCTCACCTCCCCATCCCGCAGGGTCCTGTTGCAGAATCCATGGGCCCTGGCCTCAGTGAGATGACGGTGCCTTTGCTCACTCTCTTTTGCCTTCTCTGCACCTTCACCTAGGGGTTGGCTGGCATCTGGGCAGAAACCAGAGCAATGACTTCTGTCCTTCCCTCCATCTCTCTTCTTTAGAGAGACGAGTTCAGATGTTCCTGAGGCTTCGGTCCCCCACTATCACCCTAAAAGACTTTTCATGGAGCAGGGCTGGGGGACAGAGACGGAGGTACACACAGATCAAGATGCGTGCACACATGTGCACACTTGCACACACCCACACCCGGGCAACTGGCGTCCAGATGACCCCATAGAAACCATAGGACACTCTTGCCTCCCCTAGACAATGCTAAGTCACTTTTCATGCACAGGTACAGATAGACACACAGATGGGCTGGCTCTGGCTGAGACACGTGCCTGCTTTCAAGGAGATTACACGCGCACCCCCCCCCAACCCCCACCGGACTCACACCACCTCCGCTCAGACACACATGTGGAGGGACCGTCACAGAAGACTGGAACTCTGCAGCCCAGAAGGGGGCAGCATGGAGGGCAGTGTTGCCACTCAGACCCGGGCTCTGTCTGTTCTCTGGGCACTGGGCCCCCTCCACTTCTTCCTATGTTGCTCTGCCTTTAGTGCTGAGAACCCTTTAGCTCCACGTGTAGGCCCTGGTGCAGAAGAAGGAGGGGGAAGGAGCCCGGGGATGTCTGGCTGTGGGATGGGAGAGGGAGGAGGAGCAGAGGTGGGGACTGGGGAGGAGGAGAGAGGCAGCTGGAGAGAGATAACATCGGAGTCCCTTCAGGGGAAAGCAGAGCCCTCTGTCTGTTGGATCCTTTCTTGCCGTCTTTCTGTGTCTTTTCACGTCTCTCCCATCTCCATAGTTCGGTTTCTATTTGTGTCTGTCTCTAAATCACTTTCTCTGCTTCTTTGTTTCTCAGAATGACTGAAGAAGCTGCAGGAGCCCAGGAATTTGGGCCTGTGACCCTTCCCCTCCCAGTAACCTCCCTCTCTCCCTCCCTCTGCACCGCCTTCCCTCCCCTCTCCAGCAAGGGGACCTGACCACCATTCCTTCTGGGTGGTGACTGGGTCTTGAGAATTCCTAAGGGTCCCTATCTCTAGTCCCCGGAGAACAGGGAGAGGAAAGCCTAGCCCACTAGAGAGATGGAGGGAAGGAGAAAGAAAATGGTCACTTTCCTCTCCCTTCTCTATCACTGTACTCCAGCTTCCCCAGCCCACCTGAAGTCAGGAGAGTATGCCTTTCCAGCGAAGGGTAGGAGCTCAAAGGACTGGTTCTCACTTATGCCCAGGGATCTCTGCCTTACAAGCCAAGTTTCCTCTGAGATCCCCTCTGGGCCTTTGTCCAAGGGATCCCCACACTCAAGGTCCCAGTTCCCCACAGAGCCCACCTTCCCCACATCTTCCATAGTTCTCAACCCTACCTATGCCCTAAACTTCCAATCACCCCATCAGTCAGGGAGAAAGAACTGGAGGGGGGTTGGGGAGGGGCCCCAAGGAGGAGAAGGGGAACAGGGGCTGAGAGGGAGGGGCTGCTCGCCAGGCCTGGGCTGAAAGGCCAGAGAACATTTGTTTCCACTTAGCTCAGCCCCAGTGGCTCCGGATGGGAGTGGTTGGCCCCAGGAGCCTCTGCAGTGGTCCCAGTCCAGGCCTGGCTCCTGCGTTGGGCCTGGGGGTGGACGGAAGGACCCTGGCATGGCCTCAGGTGTTCCAGGAGGAGCCTCCACCCTCTTTTCCATCCTTCTCCACTCTGCTTCTGCTCCCATCTCAGAGGGGATCATGGCTTTCAAGTGTCAGGTCTGTCTCTCCTCATTGTGTCTGCTGGGCAGCTGTCACCACGTTTTTAACTGAACACCTACTATGTGCCAGGCACCCAGCCACGTAGTGGAGAAACAAGAGTGAGCAAATAGAGGCCTAATCCCTACCCTCATGAAACTCCTGGTCATTAATCATATGCTCTTACAAACAAACGGAAAACCACAAGCTTGACCTGTGTTGTCCAGAAGAAGGGAGGGGCCCTGAGGCTGTGGCTGCGGAGATTCACAGAGTCAGGGAAGGAGGAACAGGCTTCTCGGAGGACAGCTTCCTCCTTCAGAGATACAAAACCAAGTTGGGGTTAGCTGGGAGACCCAAAAGAAGGAAGAATATTTTAGGCAGAGGGAACAGTCTTTGCAAAAGACCCGCAGGGGTATCGAGAAGGCATGGGGCACTGTGCTAAGGTTGGCATGGGTTGAAAGAGAGTGAAGAGCAGCCCAGTGGAAGATGAGGCTAGAGAGATTAGGGGGATCAAACCAAGTAAAGCCTTACAGGCATGGGAGTATTTTTCTTATTTTAAAAGC